TATATACAAATATCTGGAGCTATACAGCTTGTTATTCCAAATGTAAAATATATTTGTACTTTCATCTGCACCTAACTTTTAATTCCTTCTTTTGTACATGTATATAACCTGTAGTTACAGCAAAGAAACTTAAATAACCAGATATCTAAAACTACATGGTATATTATTCCAAACTAGATATCTAAAACTACAAGGTATATTACTCCAAACTAGGCAAAATATCCTGTGCACTATCATTTAAACCTAACTTTTATTTCCATCACTTGTGGAGGAAAAATAAAGATACTCAAAATAACCAGATATCAGGAACTACAAAATTTGTTATACCAAACTATGTTCTATTGTTTGCACCTGTGAACTTTTATTTCAACCTGAAAGGGTTAAAGTAAAGAGAAACTCAAACAAGAAATTCTGATACTTCAAGGTCTGTTTTTCCAAACGTATCATCTCTTTTAAATATACTATCATATGCACTTAACCTGTTTTCCTCCTCTTATGATATGACCTATAACAGCGGAAATATGAAGAAATTCAACTTGATAACCAGCTATGTAATTGATATGTTATTGATATAGATAAATTATTCATGCCATTCTATGAAGGTTAATATACAGTAAAAGTAAGAAATAGAATAGGGAATGGAAAAGGGGAATGTGTCAAGTGTCAAAGAGAAAACAACCCAACCAAAGAGCAGAAAACAGCCAAAAGTAGTTTTAACTCGAGTATTATATTATTATAAAAATGTAAAATGCAAGAGATATTTGCGTACATGTGTGACAATCACTACAAACCAGTAAAAGTCTGAAATGGCCTATATCTGTACTCGACTGTACTGATTTTTACTCGGCCAGTCTGAATTGGTCTGAATTTTACTTAATATTACTCGACCCAGTCTTAACCATACTCGACTGTACTGATTTGTACTTGACCCTTATCTTTGCTATTGAAAATAGTCTCAACTATTACTCGACCAGTCTGAAACAGTCTTAACCCAGTCTGGACCAGTACTCGACCAGCTCTCGACCTATTTTTTCAGTCTGAACCATACTCGACCAAAGGTCTGAACAATACTCGACCAGTCTGAACCATACTTGACCAAATAACCTCTTCTTTATAATTTTGATTATTAAAATAACTTTCTCTTTATCTTACATGACAACAGCCACAATTAAATAAAGGTATATATAAAAACATTTTTTTATATTCTTTAATAATATATGATTCTCTTAGATTTGGCAAATCAGATAGCTAAATTATCTAATTTTAAAGTCTGAGTCTTGTTAAATAAAAGACTTTTTTTACCTGAAAACCACACCTATACTGAGGGTAATAAAACCTTATTAAAAATAAGGTGCTTTTTGTTTGGCATGTGTTTTTTTAAACAAAACTTGATTTTCCTAATATCCTAAATAAAAACGAATGTAGGACAGAAAGTCACAGGACAAAAAGTCACAATTCAGTTTTGAGATTATTTTTCTTTGAACAATAAAACACTTATTTTTAAAAAAACATTTTTTGTATTATTCTTGAAACAATATCAATAATGATCAAATAATTGTTAAGAAAACAAAATGTTACAATGTCTTGGTACTTAAATGGCTTCATGGTGCCAAGAAATATATCCTTTGTATGATTAAAATTTTATAAATCTTTATTTATCAAATTAAGTCTTATGAACAATTTCCTAAACTGTAAAATGAATATGTGTAATAAAAAGTAAACATTTCAAGATCTTTCTCATAAATATTCAAACAATTGTATACAAATTATTTGTGACGTTTTGTCCTATCAAATTTGTGACTTTCTGTCCTGTGACTTTTTGTCCTGTGACTTTCTGTACTTAGGATTCATGGTTACATACAATAGTTATATAACTATCTTTTTAATGAGGTAACAACAGCCAACAAAATCACTGACATTGTTTAACCTTATATCAGAAATATATCTATTCCTATTTATAATTTGGGATATATATATATATTTTAAAAGGGATAAAAAATTAAAGAAATGAATAAAATTTTTCTTCTGATTAGGGGTAAACTATAAAGTAATACATCCTGCTTGACGCACACTGATTAAAAAGATCACACCTGGTCAGAGAGTAATAAATTTTAAATAACATCCATTGAAAATTACAACATCCTGTAAAACTTAAATAACAAGGCCTTTTGAATTCACTAGATAAGTAATACACGAGTTTAAGAAAAATATGGTTTTCTTTTTACCTGTAAAACACCTGTACTGAGGTAATTAAACCTTATTAAACTGCTTCTTGTATGCCATGTCTTTAATTTTGACAAAACGTATTTAAATATAAAAAATTTCTACTGCAACTTTGGAATACATTTCCTTTTTTAAAAGGTTATCAAGGATTGCTATGAAAGTTTTATTATTATTATTATATTAAATTTTTGGTTTTACAAAACAAAGGTGTCAATTTTAACATTTATAAAGTTGCTTTATATACTATTTTATATTGTTTTGATAAAAAAAAAATTGAATAACATTTAAGATATTTGAATAATGGTTGAAAGTTCTAGTATTTTTGATGTGCATAAATCAATGTGAACATGATATCATGTATATAAAAATTCATTTAACAAACTGAATTTATTACATGATATTTTTTTAATCCAACCAGAAATTTGATCACCTTATTTTATTTTAATTTTAAATGTGATATACATTTTATATATATATATATATATATATGAATAACAGTTCCTAAATTAATGAAAAAATAATATAGATAGATACAAAAAATAGGTCTAGGTTGGTTAAGACTTGGTCGAGTATGGTTCAGACTAGGTCGAGCATGGTTCAGACTTGGTCGAGAATGGTTAAGATTATGTCGAGTATGGTTCAGACTCGTATAAAATGGTTAAGTATTGGTCGAGTAAAGGTCGAGTACAAGTTCAGACTGTTTAGTATGGTTCAGACTACAGTCGAGTAATATCAAGTTAATTTCAGACCAATTCAGACTGGTCGAGTAAAAATCAGTTCAGTCGAGTACAAATATAGGCCATTTCAGACTTTTACTAGTTTGTAGTGAATTGATACCGGGTTTTTTCTTCGTTTGTTTATGAAAATTTAATTATTCATTTATTCATAAAAATTACTGCACATTGTTTTCGTCGTTTTATAAAATGGAATAAAACGGGGTTTACCCACATAACTTTAAAGCTTTTATTGTTGTTGATCTTTAATTAAACAATAGTAAAAGTATAAGCGAGTATAATAAGGTCATATAATTCATTTTAATCTGTTTTAAGATATATCATATTTAAATCTTAAAAATTAAAATTAATAGTTGAAATTTCTGCCTTGAAAAAGTTCGATCCTATCTTCTTTACCGTCTCCCTGGTGCATGCACGATGCGTACTAAAGTACTGAAACTTTTGTTTTGTAAAAAGAACAATACAAAAGAAGAAAATATCTTTTTTTTTTATAAAAGTTTCCTACCGAACGGAATTGTTTGGATTTCCTAAGAAATCAATTGTACCAAAATATACATAGTTACATATAAAGTCTGGGAGAACATGATGTATTTATTAGTAAAAGTTGTAATTGGCTTTTAGCTAACTCTCAGTTACTGCTAGTAGTTTTAGTCTCGGATCAGTACTTTGTAGCTTTATGTTAGTCAGGCTTTTTTACTTTGTGCCATTCTGATGAGTCATTTAATTTCAAACTGATTTTACTGCTTGTTCGTATGTATAACTGTCACACCACTATTCCAGGTTAGGGGACGGAATGGGCATTCACAATCCTTTTTTACCCCGCCGCATTCTTTGTGTGCCTTTCCCAAAAGTCAGGAGCTTGTAATTCAGTGGTTATCGTTTGTTGCTGTCATTCATATTAGTTTTTAGATTATTATTTTGACAATAGCCAGACCGTTTGTTTTCGCGTTTGAAATATTTCCCATTTTGTCAAGCTGAGGCCTTTTATATCTTACTATACGATATGACTATTGGTTATTGTTGAAGGTCGTTCTATACTTTGACCTATAATTGCTTACATCTACGTCATTTGGTGGATAGTTGTCTCATTTGCAATCATACCACATATGAAAAAATATCATGATTTTTTTTCCACGATCTATAGAAACATGAAGATTACCGTGTTTTCCTCTGTTTCGGAGCGAGTATAAATAATGTATATTTCCCGGCAATCTAAGTTTACTGTGTGTATTTTGTAACTTAGCATTAAAAGAGATCGTCATGCATGGACCGTGAATAGGACCCCAACAAGAACTGTGGTGTACATTTGTTAAAAATTATAGTTTTTATTATCCAGGAGACAATATTATGTACTATTCAAATAAAGCAAGAATACATTTGTATATCTAGTATTTGTTCAGTAGTTAGTTGATTGCATAATAAACTGTTTTATTTACCGAAAGCGTTAAACCAAAATTATTCCATTTTCATTGATTTTATACAAACTCAATCTTGTGTAAACGACCACTTTCATTAGATATTTTTATATCAACAAACGCACAATGTTTATTATCATAATTGCTATCATTTGGACCGATCCTAAAAATTGATTAAATTAAAACATTAATTTAGAAGAGATAAAATGCTGGTCTTCCATATTGTTTGTCTTGAAATGAGACATGTGTTGACCAATTCTTATATGTACGTGTTTATTTACTGCTTTGATCTAATTTATTTCCAAGTAATGATCGTCCAATCTCTTTATTTTAATCAGAACAAATGCGTATTTCATAGATATAAGAAGATGTGGTATGAGTGCCAATGAGACAACTCTTCATCCAAATCAAAAATTTATAAAAGTAAACATATCTATTATCGTTTGTCATTATTTAAGTCAAACTTAACACATATTGTGAATATAACTTAATGTAATAAATTACAGAATGTAAATGCAGTTTTTTTCTTGTGAGGTTTGTCATGAAAGCAATCCTTTGGTCGTTCTCGTGTACACATGTTCGTAATCTCTTAGGATTTCATTTTATGATTCGTCATAAAGAAACCGAATTTATATTTAAATGACATTTTAATCTAAACTTCAAAACAATATTGCACATTTTACAAAAGATACCTTAAATATTTAACAGTTACGAATTCCTTTCCACCTATAACTATTTAAAACACCAAGTTTTTCATGATTTTCCTTTCCGATACTGTAGCGTTCGGATTCGGCTGGTTTGCGGTCGTTCGGGAAAGTAGACAACCGATTCACAATACTGTCCATTTCATCTTTTGTAACTCTCCGCAAACCTCTGAATCTATAAGGGTCAAATGCTAAATAGTCAACCCGGAGATTTTTAGACTGCTCTTGTCTTTTCTGGTTTATTCTTCTGGTTAATGCGGTCCGCGCACGTCCAGAATTAGTTTGTCGTTGCAGACGCGATACAATTGTTTCAAGCTCATCACGTGATACTTTTTTTGGTGCATCCGGTAAATATCTTACTTCTTCTGGTTCCGGATCTGGTCTCATAGAATTTCGTTGTCGACCTATAGTTGGTGTTTTTAACTCCCGTAGCATACAGCCGGCACTTTTTGGTCGATATTGTCCAGGAAACACCAGACGATCAGGTGTGTGTGAACAACTACTATCTGAGAGAAAAGACTGAGTCCTCCCGAATGCTATGGTTGGTGTCACTACATTTCGAACATATTTGTTCTTTTTCCCTGTGATTTTCTTTCCATCTTCATCTGGAAGCGGATATAATCTTAAAACTGGAACATCTATATCTTCATCTTCAAATTCATCCATGACTGAAAGAAATTGTGCAGTACTACGTGTTAAAATCTTGCAATAGATAAATGATCAACGTATATAACCTTTTATCTATGACTTGACTTGCAAACAACAACAACACTCGTTTTCTAATAAATTTCTTTATGAACACTTTTCTTTCACGTTTCACAGAGATTAATCCATGATTTATCAAATCTTCAAATACTTGCCAAATATATAAATTGAAAAGGTTAGTCAAATAAAAATAGTTTTCATTTTCAAACGGAGTACATGGAAACTTAGGAAACCGTCATGTTCACAATTTACATTGAATATTTTATAAGATTTATAATAATGATAAAGATTAGCCGTACTAAAGGCTTTATCACAGAACAATTGTCCGAATAGTGACATATTAAAAGTGTTTCTAATTTTACACATTTGATGAACAATGTCTGTTGACAAGTTAAGCGCCATATTAAAATGATATAATATTATAACTTTCTTATGTAATAAAACATTTCAACTTATCTTTTATATACACATCTTATCTAAAGTTTATTCAACTAAAGTTACATTATAGCGTGTTATTACTGAAGTTGGGCTAATTCTTTTAACATTATAGCATTATGTGGACCAGTTTTAGTTTGATCATAATGATTAAAACGAGATTATACAAATTCAAAATTATTATTTTCTACATTTATGAATAATAATTTCATACCAGTTGTCTATTATTCGCGTTTAGTTGTTAAGATATTGCCATATTTGCCACTGGACGTTAAGCAACCAACAATCATTCAAATCAATTGCAGTTTTCTTAAGCAGCTGACATTTTAATGTTTTAAGTGGTCATATATTATATTAATATGTACATGTTACTCATCTTATCGTCTTATTGTTAATGCTAAAAATACAAGTAAGCAAACATGTAAAGCCTGCAAGACTATCAACGTCACGTGAGAAAGATAAGGGTTTCTTACCGAAAAAAAAATACCAACTTTTTTTTTAAACGATTTAAATATAACAATATTGATATTGAATGTAATATTCTAACATGAAAGTACAACAAAATAGGAAGACAAAAACATAAGTAGATAAACTAAAAAAAACTATAATTATTGAGAAGAGTACCACATTATTGTTCTAACTCTGTACTTTAAGGTCACGTCACCGTCGTGACTGTTTAACTCACTGTTTTAGTTCCATTTTACTCTATTTGCATGCTTTGGACACAACTATCATTTTTCTAGTTTAAAACTATTATATATTGGTGACAATTTGTATTTTCTACAAGTCAAACTTGATTTCTAGAATACCGTTACGGTAGTTAGCAAAAGAAAAATAAACGTTTAAATTAATCTAAATATTATTTATAAAATGTACGAATTAAGCCAAATTATTCTATAGAGTTCATTAGCGTCAGTGTATACAATGGCACGCTAGGGGCTTGCCCTTTTATCTAACGCTTAGCAAATTTTATTTCTTGCAGGTGAAATTAAAAGGAATTAATTTTTTTTTTACATTTTGAGATTGGAGATCGAATGAAAAAAAGTGTAAGTCTTTTCATATCTTATTATTCAAAATGATAAATGAATTACCACATCTCCTTATTTTCATTTAAGCATAAGTTTTGCAGCATCGTAACATCTCCAAAACTGAAAATGTTGCCAATATAGGTCAACAAAAGAGAATAAAAATATCATTGATTGCATTTTTCATCTTAATTGTTAAATGTAAATTGAATAGAATGCACTATATTTTTATCTTTTAAATATAACTTTATGTTGCTACAGAATCAACACATGAGATTGGTTAGCGTAACCGAAGATTGTTGTTTAGAAATCATTATTTGACAATATATTAGGTAATACTTGTATACATAAACTTGTTTTCATTTCGAACTTACATTCGAAACATGTTTGTTATGAACGTGCCGCGTTTCAACATTTACGTTAATTTTTTGTTTTATCAAAAGTAAAAAGACTCACCCTATTCGTTTTTTGTCAGTATATCAGCCATACATGTGATCCATTGCACCTTTTATCAAATTTAATTCACAACTCTCACTTTAATGTTTACTTAAATCAATATGTATATTGTCTCTGTGCGAAATTCAATCAGTGCAAACAAAATCTATTTCTTGTTGTTCAATAAGCGGAGATTTAACCGTCATTCATGAAAAATTAAATCCATTGATTATCAACATAGATTTTAGAAAATAAAGTATCGACTTTGTCAAAATAACACCTATTTTTTTCTTTTATTCGAGAATACTTTACAATCCCCTATCCTCTTAGAACATGCAACTACACGCAATTTTATATATTAAGCTTTCCACAGACAATCGTGTGAAGGAACTTATTAAAAAAAAAGCATGAAATAGTACAGAAAGCGTGTGTAGGTTGTCTTAATAATAACCAAGGAGTTCTTTAATAAAAGCGCGTGATATCGTACACCCAATTCTCTTGATCAAGCATGCGTTCGTGAACTCAGTAATAGCTAATTTAGAAATCCTTTTAACACAAAATGTATTTCGATTGTCCTAAGCAATGACTGGTTGTTGGTTCTTTAAAACAAAAATGGGTGGTAATATTACAAAGAAAACAACACAAAACAAACTACCTTATCCTTTTAGTGTACTATGTACATTTGTTTGTTTTGTATATAGATATTGATTTCATTGATATGGAATATAAGTCGTTATTGTTTTAGTTCAATTAATATTTAACAAAGATTGGATTGTAACCATTCTGTTTCACTGAGCATATTTATTCAGTTAATTGATAAGTCGGTTGCATGAAACTTTTCTGAATGAAAATATTTACAGTAATGCATTAAATCTGATTTTAACGTTCTAGATATAATTGTTGGTTGTGGACAGAGGTTTATCTGTATTCATAAAGTATTTAAAGTTGCTTCTCCTTGGCAACGATTTGATGTTGGTTCGCGTACTCGAGAGCAACGCAGAACAGTGTAACTTAGTTCACGTATACGAGACCAACACATAACAGTCCCTTCGCGTTGCGCCAATTAGACGTTTGAAATTGTTCACGAGTTTCAAACGGAATAGTCGATATCCAACTTACATTTACAATGAGCTCGTCTGGTAAAGGAATTCATGAATTTGTTTTAACCCGTAAAATTTTCTCTTTCAAATGGAGCATTAAAACAAGAAGCATTCTTTTATTGATGTTAAAGGAAAACTCAGTGCTTTTGTTGGGGAAGTTTTAAACGAAGATTCTACTACATGTAGTTTTCTGTTTTCTGCTCTTTCGTTGGGTTGTTGTCTCTTTGACACCTTCCCCGTTTCCATTTTCAGTTTGGTCTGTCGCCTGCCGCACTTTTCATTGAACATTAAACGAAATTTGATTGGGAAACTATAAGGGTGGCCGATGCAGAAAACCAAATAAGAAGGAATAAAGATGACACACTTTTGTGTAAGTAACAACGCTCTATTGTACGTGAACAAAGTGTTCATAGATACCGATTTGTACGCATGACACGTACGCTGCGGTTTTGCCGGTTGAAACTATAGTTGCACTTTTATACACGATTGATTCATGCATTAAGTGTTGCAGAATATTCATTTTCATCTTGTCTTATGTAAGGTTATTTATTTTCATCTCTAACCAGGCCAGGATATTCATTTTTAAAATCTTCCGCCCCCACCCCACCCCCCCCACGAAAATCAAAATGTTAGACATTGTTAACATAGAAAAGAACCTAATCAGTAAAGATTAAACTGTCTAAAGGTCTGTCTCAAGGAGTTGCAATCTGAACGTACATACATTTAATTCAAAAAGTTATTTTCTACTCTATCGACATGATGCTATGGCACCGACTATTTATCTTTTGTTCGGCGTGGTTTAGAAATAAATGAATTGTCTGAGTCTACATTCTTAAAAAAATTGTTTCAGAAAGGAAGTGAAAGAATTGTACTTTTCCATTGTGAATAAGGTAAATCTATAAAATCAACATTGAGTTTCAGAAAGAGTTCATGTTCTTGTCTGTTATTTAAAAAAAATGTGTGTCCTAAATGCATCGCCCCCTACAAAACATGAATAATGGAATTGCGTATATTAAACGGCATTTTATTCATGCAACATTCATTGATTGATTGTTTTAAAATGTGTTAATTAGATATAAGAAGATGTGGTATGAGTGCCAATGAGACAACTCTCCTTCCAAGTCAAAATTTATATAAGTAAACCATTATAGGTCAAAGTACGGCCTTCAACACGGAGCCTTGGCTGACACCGAACATTCCATTAGTGTACATATATTATTTCGAGCCAATAGACATGAAGTGAACGATTGAATGAAAATGAATTAGAAAAAGGGTTGGGTAGGACATGTTTACAAAGATAGTTTAACCGCCATAAGATATATACATAGAAGAATAAGAATAAGAATAAGAATATTTATTATTCCAATCAAGGGCCGGCCCTTGATGGGCAGCATAACATGTACACATAAAACAATACATCATGATTTGTAACAGAAAAACATTTTTATATATTAAAATGAAACATTAAAAAGTTCAGACAGATGTTATTATATTCATTCTATAAAAAATCACATACATTTAATTCCAGGCAGGATCAGAACTATAAAATCATTACAATTATCATTGTTATTACATACATTAATTAACATTATATAGAGCATGGTAGGTTCTATGCCTCAGTATTATTTCATTTTCCCTTTTCATTTTTTATATTTTTTTATATACCTCGCTTCAAAGTCCTACTGTCAGTACGTTAGTCATTTTTGTTTTCCGGATGCTTACTCAAACTTTATATCGGATTGCAACCTTAGTTGAATATATGGTCACATATAATGAGAGAAAGACCCCTATTGATTTTAAAGTGAATATCTCAATTAAAGGTCAAAGTTACTAAAATTAATCCGAAATTTTTGCAGAAAATTGGTTATCGGATGCTACATCAAATACTAATTATTAGATTGCAACCTTACTTGCATTTGTGGTCACATATAATGAGAGGGAGATCCCTTTTGAGTTTGAATTAATATGTTTAAGGTCAGGGTTTCAGGTACGTACCTTACAGACCCGGCGAAATTTGTACAGAAAACCTAATCAAATACTATTGATTGGTTGATTGATTGATTGGTGTTAAACGCCACTTTCAGCTCTAATGTGCTATTTCGTGGCGGTCTGTTTAACTTTTTATAGGTGGAGGAATCCGGACTGCCCGGAGAGAACCATCGACATTCAGTAGGAAAACTGAGTCGAGCGCACCTGCAACGTGCGGGATACGAAATTACAACATCAGTGTTGACAAGCTAGTGATACAGTAGTTCGACTACTTAAACCACTCGACCACCGAGGTTCCTAATCAAATACTACAGATGACACTGTAACCTTCCTCGGATATATCATCACATATGATTAGAGCAAGATTTTGAAGCCTCTTGGTCTGGGGGCAAGGTCAATAGCTACAAAAATAGATTTTGTAATACAATATAACGTCAAAATTTTTAAATCATAACAGAAATAATAATGTATCATTCTTAAAGTTAACAGAGAAAAAACAACGCCATCACTCAGGCTATGATATAATCTTTTCACTTTACATTGGGGTATGGAGTATGTAAGCTTGTCAATAAATGGCCTTTTTTCCTTTGATTTATTTTTGAGTCGCCGATTTTTTTGTGTTTGCTAAAGTAAATTGTAAAAATTACTATTTGGCATCCAATTATTTCTAGAGTTATCCCCCATTGTCAAGTCATAAACTTATCTTTTAATGAGAATGGGGATAGGGGTTTGCAGAATAGAGAATAATGGGCAAGAAATATAAAGAATAGAGAAAATGGACCAAAAACATATAGAATAGAGAATAAAGATGCGCTAAAATATAAAGAATAGAGAATAATGGGCAAAAACGGTACAGAAAACAAAAATGGAGGACCCCATGTAAACCCTCTTTTATGTAATATGAACGTATGAATTTCACATTCAAATTAGTAATTAAAAATCTATGTATTATTTCTTTACGTATTTTCCCCGTCAAAACATAAGCAAATAGAACAGAACCATACAAAGACTTGTACATATAAAAATAAGGAGATGAGGTATGATTGCCAATGAGACACTTATTTTACACATATTTTATTACAAAAAATGTGTACAGCTCTAGTGACTAATGTTAATCCGTAAGTTATTACATTTTACATAAACTGGTAATACATTGTATATTCCACACAATACATAAAATAAAATAAATACAAAACGATATCGTATCCCATAATGCAGCAATCCGTTTCCATGTGACAGGAACTAATGTTTGGTGATTACAACACGGGAACATAATAAGTAGTACGAACTTTTCAATCCAAACTGGAATGTACTGGTCTTTTTTGTAATAGAACCACGAGCTGATAATTACTGAAAAAATGACAAAACCACTCATGATCATATTTCCAATCAGAAACACACAAACTTTAGCAAGACTTGGTAATGCAATGGCTGGTAAAAGATTTTGTGTTATAGTAAGAAATACAATCACAGATAATAATAGTGTCATTGAAAAACTAATCCTTTCTCCAGACTCCTGTGGTAAAATAAACACAAGAGTATTCAACAACGCCATTAAGGAAGCGGGAAGAATAAGGTTAAAGACATAGAATACCGGTCTGCGCTTGAAATGTAAAACAAAAAAAATTTCAGCAACTCCATCGTTTAGATTGTGATTTAGAGCTTTCGTTTTGGTTAATTCCCATTCACTGTTTGAACTATAAAATGACGTCATCACCTCGTCAAATGTCGAATTAAACACTATTTCGGAATAACTATAACCCCATGCAACAATTTCTAACACGCATTCCTGTTGATCAAATGGGAAATCAACACTGTTAATTGAGCACGTGAAGACAAACTGTGATCCTGGTGTCCAGGTTACAGTACCCGTATGTTCAATCCTGACACTAGAGCCTTTCATTCGAATGTACTTTATTTTCTCCCCTGAATTTGCCACCAATAGTGGTGGAGTCCAAACAAAATCACGAGGTAAAACTATTGATGTGATATTTCCGCAAGAGGATGGAATCCATCGTAAACTTACATCCTTCCATTTTAGATCAAAGTATCCAGTGATAGAAACTGTTCCTTTGACGTCATTAATTTCCTGTAATGTTACGATATAAAAAGACGTTACAATTGCTGTCGCGAGACTTTGATCGTCTGTTGGTCTAAGATATTTATTATGGTCTTTTGTCAAATTGTTGTACAACTCCCTCATGTCGGAAAATTTTGCAGCAAAGCAACATTTTGTCAAGTACGACGTAGAGATAAATAACAAAATTAACGTAAAATTAATAGTCATATTGACACCAGACCAAATCAAAGACAATCTAACAGATTAATTAAAGTCACTGGAAGAGTCGATTGTTGGCATCAACAATACAGTAAACTCTTATCTAACAAGTATGAGACCTATCACCAATATATAAACACATCAAAATTGACATAAATGAAATCAAATGGTAATCTGCATTGATCTCTTCTGAAGTTGATATCTAAATTATGTGATTATCAAGGGTAATTAATTATCTATATACCAAA